GTTGCAACCAGCGCCGAGCCTAAATGCCTACGCAGGTCCCGGACATCCCCCAGCCGGGCCTCTGTCATTCCCAACGCGGCTCTGGAGACACCAGCTCGCTGACCCTAAAATCCTCACAAGGCGCACGCAAGGCCCCTCTAGTGCCGGTTAGTTGGTCCTTTCGCAGTGGCCTCCAGCGTGCCAGAGGATCGTCGACCTTGCCAGGGACCGTGCTCGAACGGCACGCAGAAGCACGCATGCTCGAACTCGGCATGCACAAAGCCTGGCTCTGGTCTGCCGCAGGCACTGGCCCTCAGGGCAACTGCCTGTGCCACTACCACCCCGCAGGGTCCGCGAATTCCCTCTGGAGCCCAAGACGGCCCAGGCAAGCGAGCAGCAAGCAAAGAGGAGCGGGGCGCATATAATGCAGGTGGACTACGCATCAAGCTGTCGAGCATGCCGATAGCAGCTGCATCAGGGCCGCAAGATACGGCTTCGTGCCTGAGGACCGACTGCCCTGGCCTGGGCATTGAAATAGATGTACACTGTTTAGAAGCCCGAAGTTCCGAATATCCTATATGAAGGCGTACGGTTCAGGGTTCAGGGTGGTTTATGCTTTGAGGTGCTTTAAGGTTTAGGGTTTAAGGCTTTGGGGCTTTGGGGCTTAAGACTTTCGGGCCTTTCGGGCTTTAGGGTTTAGGCTTGTGGGGGGCTTCCACGCAATGGAAAAGGGTTGAAGGGGCCGGGAGGGCTTTGGGGCAGGTAGACACAACTAATAAGGTGCCAAGAACGTCCTTGCAACACGTGGCAGACAAATTCACGATGGTGAGATGCCACACCTCCAGACGGCACGGCCAAGCCCTGCAGACCAATGCCATCTCGGGCGGTGGAACCGAATATACCGTTGTACTCTGCAGCAACACACGAACACGAACGATACATCACACTCTCAGAAACCGCCGCGGTCAGCTTTTGACCTGGGCGACGCTTCACGTCCCCTCGCACTCTCGTCTTGCAGCCGTGCTCTCGGACAGCTGCATGAAAAACGGGCAGGCCGAAGAGTCCCATGCCCCCACCTTTGGCAAAGGCAGAACATCTGATTTGGAAGAGGATCGCAGAGACACCTACGAGAACCATCACTGAAGCTATATGGGGGGCGACTGCTTGAAAGCCAACACGGGCTCAGTCCGCCGACCGCCGAGCTGTTCACAACGCTTCAAGTCGCGCAAGGCCAGCACGTCATCCTTGGCCTCCGCGAGGAATTTGCAAGAGTTTATGAACCCCGCGAGCAAAGGGTGGGCTTTACCGGGCCCAGCCATCCAAGTCTCATAGTCAAGGGGCTGGTACACAAACTCCTTCCCTGTTGCGGTCGACATGTGTTTGGCCAGCTCCTTTGCGCTGCAGTGGAACGACGCGTGGCCATGGACGGATCATCGAAAATGCCCGCCACTACCTGCCCAAAATCCTTCAAAACAGTCCATGGGATTGGTCCAACCCCCAAAGGCCATTCGAAGACGACAGGGTCTTTTTTGCCAGAGGGCCAAATCAAGCCTTGCTCAATGTAGGGGCTGGGGTACACGAAGGTCGTGGGCAAGGCCGGCTTGTTAGCGAAGAACCTTTGCTGAGCGTTGGCCTTTGCGTCCAACATGGGCGCCTTCATGTCATTGGGAGCCAGATCGTACTGCTCGATCGGGATCACCGGAACATCAGCCATCTTAGGGTGTTTTCTTACCTCTTCCATCGTTGACATCACCACATGCTTCATGGTACCGAGTTGAGTCAAGCCAGCAGCGATCTTTTGGTGCATCACGACCACTTTTCCGGGGTCCTTCGGGTCAGCAGCGTTCACGAACGCCGCGTCGCATCCTTTGAACGCCTCCATTGCGCCCTCATGTCCCCCGTGGGTCATGTCCTGGATTTTGCGCACCTCGACTCTTGGCATCTTGGCAAGCTCCTGGGCCACCGACGAGCGATCGTCTCGGACCAGCGCAATCACGCTGCGCTTACCAAACTGCGAAAGTGAGCACACAACCGCAAGACCTTGCTTGCCAGACGCCCCCAGCGCCCCAATGACACGCCGGAACTTGAAGTTGCCGGCCTGCGACACGCCCTGATGCATATCCCTGAGCTCTTCCACCGGGTCCGCCAGCTTTCCACCGGCGAGCTCTCGACAGATATTTATGTCCCTTGTGGCCAAGATGTGGTCCTTGGCCTCCTGGTTCCCGAAAAACTGGCAGAAGTTTGCGATCTCAGCGAAATTGGCCGGGACGTCAGCGCACACTCAAGCCCGTGTGCACGTACGTGATGGGCAAGCCCTTGCCATTGAAGACTTCCTGCGCAGGGAGGAACTCCGTCGCCGAGATCACCACATGTTTCATGCCATCAATGCACTTCAAGGCCGCAGCACAGTTCTCGTACTGCTTCTTCATGTTCTCATATTTCCAGTGGCCCGTGGTCCTGTTGTCAGTCCCAAGCACGAACGCCCCATCACAACCGCTGAACGCTGCCTCCAACGACTTCTGGTTGCTGAGGTCTCCCTTACGCAGCTCCACCCTGCGCAAAGTGGTTTTAAGCTCCTGGGCCTTCTTGGAGTACGGGTTTCGCGTGATCGCAACCACCACACTCACGCCCTTGGCTACAAGCGCCTGCACCACCGCGCCACCTTGATGGCCAGTGGCCCCCACCACCGCGATGCACTGAGGCCCTGGCACGTGCTGGCATCGGCAAGCGGCGCCCATGGCGGCGCGAGGAGGGCTGTATGTTAGGGCCGGGGCTCTACGATGTTCTCTTCAAACAAGAATGCTCAGGACTTGTGGTCTGGAAACGCAACATGCTGTCACATGTTTCGTGTGTGAAAAAACAAGCTGTTGCCACGTCTTTTTGTGCACAATAACCGTGCTGTCGCCACGCCCGTCGGGTATGAGAATGATGAAACTGCCACGTGATTTCTCAGGATGAAAATCCTGTCTTTGTATGGATTTCGGGCGGGAAAACCAAGCTGTGGCCACGCCCTGGCGCACGAAAACAATGCTGCTGTCACGCCCTTCGGGTATGAAACTGGTGGTGTGGTTGCAATGTGTTTGTCGGCATAAGAAATATGATTTTTATCGCTTTCGGACGCGGAAAACAAGCCGCTGCCACGCAGTTTATGCATAAAAACCCAGGCTGCCGCCACGGCCATAAGTCACGGAAACTATGAGGTTGCCACGTGTTGTTCGGTATCAAACAGACTGGTTTGCCGTGACGGGGTGTGTGTGGCCGGGACGTGTCCGCACAATTGTCTCATCAAGTCACAAACTGCAATGTCACGTGAAAAAGGAACATAGTCGGAGACTGTCAGAAGACAAAGAGAATACGCCCAATGAAGACTTGAGCAATGATACATAATGTTGTGTCCTTTCAAGCAGGATCAATGAAACTCGAGTAATCAAGTGCGCAATGGTCAAGGTGAGATCGTCCCGAGCAACTGCCACGAAGTCGTTGGTGTCGAACAGACGTACAATCGTGACAACCAGATGCTGAGATGTTGTGTCATCATTTTGACTGATGCAATTTAGCCTTGGATGCAAAGAAGCATCAATCCAATCAAGGTTCATCACTGAATGACACGTCAAGTCCAGAAACACAAAATCACGCAATCCAGGAATGCCGTATTCCACCGAAGACGGAAATCGACGAACCAAGTAATGCCACTTAGACCAATGAGACGCAGTCGTGAAATGGACGTTCCTGGTGTAGTAGGCTCTCACAGCGCCAATTGTGCTGCAGAATCTGAGGCTAGCAATGCCAACGTCAGCCAAGAAGAACCTGTGCAATGGACAGGCAAAGATGTCGACGAAGCGTACAACGCCAGCGTCAATCAACGCACACCAGTTCACCGGACAATGGTTCATAGGACAATCAAGGATGCCAGCGAGACAATCAAGAATACCACCGTCAAGTGATGAAATGTCCAACAATGTAAAGTCTCGCAACTCCTGCAACTCTAGCACTAAGACATGCTTCGCTCCTTGGAAGCCAACGGGTTTCGCACAACGCACAATGCCGAGGACTCCGAGGACTCCAATGACAAGTGCAGTGACGCGCATAAGGTCAGTGAAGCGGCTGATCCCAATCCGAACAGAGTAACCGATGATCCCGGAAAGGTCCAAAGACCGAAAGCGAAATGAGAAACACGAAAGAGACAAACGAAAAACAATAACGAAAGTTGTTGAGAAGAACCAATGTAAGAAGGCCACAAAGACCAAAAAGAAACAGGACTCAAAGAAACAGGAATCTCAGCAGCATCATCAATCTCGGTCCCTCGGCTGGGGACGCCAACGACCGAAGAGACCTCGAGGCAAGAAGGACAATGGCACAAAAAACAATAAAAGAGAGGGAAAAAGGGTAACGTGCGAAAGGAAATCATAGGAAAGAACAAAACAGAACAGTGGTTCTCAATAGTGAAGTTGTACGTACAGAGAGACGAGACAAGACAAGAAGTGACAAGTGAACGCCAATAGTACATGCCAATGCAATCTTCAAGCAATGTGACTTCTGGAGGCCGCTGAGGAATGCGCAATGCAACAAGGACCTCGCAGTGCAAAACAATCCATCTGAAGTAGGCGACGACCGAGCAATTGCAAGAAGCCAATGATCCTCACAGTCGATCACACCAACACGAAGAGGCAATAAGTTGGCAAGGGACAGAGAGGGAACGGAGAGAGGGATACTCTCAATCTCGTGCTGCACTGTGATGTGTTCATTTGGAGGCATATAAATGCTCGACTCGCCAAGGTCAACATGGTGCAATAAAGAGATAGTCAATATGAACCATGGAAACGGTAACTCCCGCAGAAGTGGAGTTCCAATGGTCTGGATGGAATTCCATGCCTCAACCATCAATAACAAGCGAATCTCCAAGAGCAACAAGCTCAATCTCTGACCAATGAAAAAGAAGTTGCAACAAGGATCAAGCACTCTGTCACCAATCTCATGTGGAGGACAAACCACAGAACGTCGCTCTTTCATGTGTGCAATGAGTGTACAACCTTCGTGGTACAACGTGCGATGTAGGCAAGAAAGATCAATCACGGACAACCTAACCAATACGAGATGGCAAGACATGTCAACCGTTCTTGACAAACCGACACGGTGATAATCGGAAACGGAACAATGACGTCGGTCTTGATGCAAACTGCAATCGAAAAGAACTCTACGCACGCAGCAGGACGGATTGTCAATATTTTCAGGTGCTCTACTCAAAGAAGGAGCACTCAATCGAACATTCGGACTGTCAGTCCTGTCAACACCTGCAGAGTAATCAATGAGTCCACAGCAAACTGTGAGGTCTGAGCGGAATGCCAGCAACACAAGAATGATGGCAAAGGCAATAAGTGAAACAATTGAGACAAGCAATTTTGCTCCACGACGGCCACATACCTTAGGCAATGTGACTCTCTCATGTCGTGTCCTGTCGCTTGGCCAGTGCAACAGAATACACTCAGTGACACGTGAAACAGTCGAGACAAAATCATCACGGTCGGCAATGAGCACATTAGATGTCCGACTTCCAGCTTCGCAATCCGCGTCAGACTTCAAATAAGACACGGATGAATACGGTGAATGACACAATGACTAATGAACTGCATGACTGACAACGGTCAGAAGCCCGAGGGCAATCATTCGCCGAACAATGTGTATCACGTGCAGAAGGGCGCGACACCAAGAGGCTCTCATCTGACCGATGACAGAAAATGTCTACAATACGATGTTCGCTAAGCTCACAAGCAATCTCCGGAGTCTCATCCTTGAAATCTTCTCGTTTCTCAAATTCTCTATCTTCGACGGTCACTTCCTCCTCAGTTTTCTCAATCATACCTGTCTCCTCGATCTTAACCTCGCAATGATGCAGTGAACACTCGATACAATGTTCAACTGAGTGGCCACAATTCGTCTCTTCATTCTCATCACTTGTGCAAGCAGTCGACAAATCATCTTCCGGTTCTCCGTGAATTCCTTTGCAATGACCTGTTCAGTACCCTGGTTCCTGTAGATGATCCTTGTTCCTTCAATCTTTTCTCGTTCCTCAGCAATCCTCCTCTTCTTCCTATTCTTGACATGAATCTCTTTCTCAAGCTTCTCTTCAATTTCTTCAAGCGCACACTCACAGCTTCCTCTCTCACAATCCGATGAAATCAGCAATCTCTTTCCGCCTGAGGACAAATCCTCGTGCCTTGGGGGCGAATAGCAATCTTGAAGAACCGCAATCAGGCATGCGGCCGCCTAAACTTGCAGTATTGATCTATCTCCAGAGTACATAATTACACCTCGAAAGAGGCCCGGGAACAATGTCGAGGAAGCTGTCGATTCCAACGGGCCTCACTCACCTCTGGACCAGATACACTCTCCGTCCAAACCGGTAACCGTCGTGCTGTAACCGTCGCCATCCACGAACCGTTTAGCTATCACTCCTTGCGAGCCCGACCGCAATCACATCTCTGCACCAGATCCGGACAAGGCAAAGTTTGCAGCTTCACTTCTGTAAATGCCAGATATCTTGGCAGAATTTGGTCGGCTCTCCTTTTCGAGCTCGCTGTCTTCGGAAGTGTTCATCTGCACAGTCTCTTGAGCTCTTTGGGCACGACCGCTTAGCCGTGGGCCTCACCATGGGCGTCACCGTGGCCTTCCTGACTCAGTCCACCGCTTTGCTGCGGACTGCGTCCCACGATGAAGATTATGCTCGGTTTCCGAGTTGCATTCAAACCGTTGTGTAAAAGTTCCTCTCCACCTGCATGAAGATAAAGGAAGCAGGGAAGGCAAAAGCCTGGGAAATGCTGGCAGTTCATGGCAGTTGACTAATTACAAAACTTTGTCCGTGGCTCTCCCACCCGAATTCGCGACATCGAAAAAGCCAAGAATTGCCCAGTAGAAGGCTCTATCAGCGCAAATGGAAGATGCGCGCCGCCTTCCAACATATCGTCTTCACTTCTCGTCCACTGTGTGCTGCATCTGGACATACATCAAGCGCACGCATACACTGCTGCGCGTGGCGTCCATCTGGTTCATCAGGCTCTGCTGAAAATTCCCTTCCCTGAGTTCTTATCGAAGCTTCGCATAGCTTGAGTCCTAATGGCACAAGCACTACAAAAGCTGTACCGTGCTCAGCCTGAGCGCACAAGAGCAGTCAAGCAACCCAAGTGATCATTGGACGAGGGCGTGACGTGGAAAATAGGGTCGGCAAGACCCCACAAAGAAAATTCGCGAATTCTGCAAAGGTGCAAAGGGCTGACAAACAAATTTGAGCTCCCTGCACCAATTTTCAATCCTGTCTAGGCGGGGGAGCCTCGCTAAGTTCTTCACCTAAGCTTTTGTCTTAAGCTGGAGTGGAGTCGGTGGACGGGGCACTGATTTTACTTCTACACTCCACTAAGTCTACTAAGTCTACTATACCTGCATGGACTCTGCCACGCCAAAGCCTCCAAGGAGAGAGCCCAAGCCTGGTCAAAGTCGCTTTGCTTCGGTCAAAGGGAACCCCCCCTTACACTCCCCGGCCTGCAACGCCTCGAAGCAGAGCTTCCTGGCCTCAACTTAGAACGGAGGCCATACGCAGGGCATGGAGGGGCAGGTGGCAGTAACTGACACATGCTGGCCACTCCGATGCATTTCCTCTGTCGCAGGCCTGGCACTTCGCGCAGGTCAGTCGCTGCTCCCGGATATCCTGGTCACCATGCTGTGGTCACATGCTACGTACTGGAGCTTGTTCAATCCTGGACGCCTAGTCCAGGTCCAACCCAAGCAAAGCGTTCTTGAGAAGGCCGGGCGAAAGCTCGTCCGCAAAGAGTGGTGGGGCATATTGCGGCCATGACTGACTATAGTCTACAGCAGCATGACTTGTCGCGGCATCGGCGGCGGTCCTAGCAGTCCTAGCCCTAGCAGCAGAACAGCACAGCAAGTCTGGGAGCGGCCGTGGCGGACGAGGAGGTCTCGAAGGGGGGGAAACAAAGCTCATCGACACTGGGCGGCTGAGGTCTAGACTCAGGATGTCGAAGCTTTCAGCTGGTTTGCATGGGCTTAATGTCATTGAAGCTCCTGCTTGCGTGGTCCGAAGTCAAAAGGACAGTGCCGCTGTGGCGGCAACGGTGCGACCGCCGGAGCAGGAGCGACAGCAATGAGGCCAGCTGCAGTTGAGCATTGGAAGTTGCCAGGGAAAGGGGTGTTGTACCCTGTATTCAAGGAATTTAAAAACACGCTTGTATCACGGCTCCCGGACCAATCAACCTGACAAAAATTCATGTTGCTATAATCTTTGAAATCTCTAGCTGAGTCCTCATGGGACTTCCTTTCTTGCAAGTCTGAATCTGAAGAACCTCACAGCTGCGCTTCCTTGACGTGACTTCGCCGGGCTGAGGTTAAGGGCCATCAATGCAGGGGCGATGTAGATGAGCAAGGATGCCTGAGGAAATTCTGCCACGAGCGCTCCCCGTCGAATTCTCGGCTCCTGGGGCACGGTCTGCTTGCGAGCCCGAGCCGCCCCGAGGGCCCCTCCCAAGGCCGAGGTTTTGTCCAAGCCGAAGCCCGGAAGGAACGCCAGGGCCACGGAGAGGCCAATGGAGCTTGCAACCGTCAGCGCCTCAGACTCAGACTCAGACTCAGTCTGACTCAGTCTCAGTGACGACAAGATATACCGTGTGAGGGCCCGTCGCCAACCTCAGCAGAGACACGTGCTGCTCGACCCATTTTGGCAGGCTGAGGACTTCCACCGCCGTCTGGCGGAAGCAGCGCTCGAGAAGTGGGAACTCAAAGAGGACGCAAAGACCAAGGCCTCTCACACTGCGACAGAGCTCTCAGACACGGCCGCGGCATTTAAAGACTCGCTTGGTGCAGCTCGCACAACCCCGAGCTGAGAGCATGGCCCACCCGTGCCACGGCAACCAGGGGATCAGCAGCAGAGTAGCTGTTGAGGATGGAGGCATCTATACAGGGGTGCAGAGCAGGCACAACGTCGATAATCTTCGCTCCGATAAGCCCTACCTGCTTGCGGGCCAAAAGTTTCAACTCCTGCCATGGTGATGGCCCAGAAGATGAAGCCTCACAGCCGCCCAAGTATACACTCTCACACATGCTCCCACGGAGCCCGGGCCTGACAAGGCAAAGGCCATTGTGGTTACTTTGGCCAGCTGGGGGAGACGGCTGCTGCCTCTAAGGTCTGGTTGCGGCTCCAGCTCGTTGAAGATAGCAGGGGCATTGAAGTGCGCCGAGAAAGCGTTGGAGAGGATCGCTGCGAAGATGCAGACTTGCTGGAACAAGAGGTCGTCCGGAGATTGGGCTGATGGAGCCTGTGTCTTCGTCAGCAAGTCGAGGGTCGTCTTGGCATCACTGTAGAAGCTACCTCCCAGCTCGTAGGACCCGTCAAACCAGCGCAGAAGCATCACCAAAGAGAGTACAGTGACTCCCAGCAGCCCCAGAACCGATGCGAAAGCCAAAGGTGACAACGATGGCAGCAAGCACAAAGGAAACAGGACAAGGGATGAGATCCCTCCGACCAAGATCTCCTTCGGCATCATGTCCTGGCCCATTGATGTCAATATCTGAGAGGCTGTGTCTCCGAGCACTGCGATGCATGCGACCATCCCCGTGAAGCTGCAGATGACTGATGCGGCGCTTGGCATCCATGCGAACCGACTTCCGAGCGTCTTCGTCCATGCCTGCAATTACAACGTGCCCTAGGGACTTTCCAAAAGATCGCGAGCAAACTACTGGTACGAGCGTGGTCAACAGGCAAATAACAACTTATGGGCCTCTTGGTATGTGCGAGCCCCGGTGCGCTCACACACCTCGCCAATGAGATAGAAACCGTAGGCGTTCAGAGCCCCGAAGACCACGTACAGGAGCACCAGGGCTGTAACGATCGTGTCGTGACTACCAACGCCAGAGCTCGAGGCTGCATCCACAACTTTCGCTGCTCCGGATGGCAGGGAAAGCACCCCAGCCCCCACGATGTTTTTTGCCAAATTGGCTGTCGTTGCTGCTGTAGACGAGTCGGTGGACCTTGGTGTTGTGAGTAAAGCAGCATGTGTGCCAGTCGCATCGCCGATTGCCAAATCTGCAGCAGAGAAGCGTTTGAGAGACCGACTCCTTCAGGGTCGGCGGCACGACGAAGAGGTTCGCGCCACCGAAACCCATCCCATGCCTGGCTGCCTCTAGCAGCACAGCCGCAAAGATGCAGAGCGTGCCGCTCCGAGCTCTTCGGAACCTCCACATGGCTCGGCGCAGAAGCCCTATGTACAGTCGGCCCTAGGCCCGAGGCTCCCCTGCCTGAAACCTCGAAGGATGAGTCGTGTCATTCAGGGCTGCAGAAACTGCCAGCAACAGGAAGCTCCCACCAGGTCCGCTGCGATTTAGAATTCTGCGTGGCCGGGCGTCCGGGCTTTTTCGGGTGAGGTTGCTTCTTGAGCCTTGGCTCCCTGAGCTGTGCTACCATTGCTACCTCGACAGGAGACGAAGTCCGTGTTGGATCAATAGTTAAACGTTGAATTACACCATGACAGGCCGCTCAGCAATTCCAGGCTCAAGGGCGTTCCAGCTCAGTCGTCTGCCACCGGCAAAGTCATAAGCAAGTCTTCAGTGGCAACTTGGCGAAGCCAAACAAGACAAGCCTTCAAAAATGACATGAACCGCGGAGCACGAGGGACTTGTCAGGACTTGCCCCACTAGAAACAAGCCTTGAGCAAGCACCCGAAACTTAAACTCAATGCTCGTCGGTTCATGCAGCTCTACTGTGGCAGGATTCTTTCAAGTAAGGACCCCCGCTCCCCACCAGAATCCTAGCAAACAGGATTCTCCTTGTACTCTTCAGACTGCTAAGATATGCTCAAGCTCTTGAAGTCGTGAAGGGGGTACTGCGCTGACGAGGCCACGTTCTTTGAGGTTCCGGGCAGCTACTCCACAAGAGGTCTTCCTATAGTAGTGGCCCAGTAAGTCCTGAGGTGCGCCATCAGCAACGACACAACTAAATACGAAACTTGCGGCAATCAAAGCCCTTGTCCTCACGACCATACTATCTCACGGTGGTTGCCCAGCATGATGACTTTACCTCACTTCGCGCCATGGGCTTCCTTGCCGTGCACAGGATCCAACAGCTCTGACTGCTTGCAAGACTTGTAAGATGCGTTCGACGGCCCACACTCCACTCCGTTTGTTTGCCTGCTATTCTCATAGCTCCGACTGATGCTTAGGCCGAGACATCCAGGAAGACATGCGGCTTCAAAGTACGGCAAGGTACAAGCAATGGTATATAACGCTTTGGCGGGTCTGCTCTTGCCGCATGGAGAGGCACTTTTCCTTTGCAGGCTGTGAGCCTCTCGATTCGGGGTTTCGCCACACGAGGTGTAGTTGCAACCGAGTTCGAGCCTTGCATATAAGATACGACATCAATGAAACCAAGCCTCGGCAAGGTCAAAATGCCATCGAAGGCAAAGAAAGACATCGAACAGCTTTGCTGACAAATGAAAATCGGATCCGTGCTGAAAAGGATCTCTGAATCATTCGGAGACACCATCTCTGTCTATCTGATCGGCACTGAAGAGATGTTGTGTTGGCCCTTCGGCGTTTGTGAGTTGCTGCATGTCCACACACCAAGGGTCCTGATGCCTCAGAGCCCAATATTCGTGCAGCGGCATCCGCACACTCGTTTCATCATTGCCTGCGGTCCCGAACAACTCCGATGCATCCGCGACTTTGACATGGATCCCGTGATGCACTCTTTTCTTAGACGAAGACTCAGCGCCTGAGTACAAGGATCTGAGGATGGCCGAAGCCTTCCCAAGCCATGCACCCAGCAGATCGTAGACGGCTTCAATCCCTAAGCCTTAGCCGTTGCGAGTGGCTCAGGAAGACTCTCGCATCGTGGCGGAGGGTCTTGGAGATGCCCCTGCTGTGCCAGCTACGATGTGTCGCCACATGTCGCCACTGATTGCCAAGCCCCGCTCAAACCCTACGGATACCTACTGCATTGCATACGGTGTCCCACGTTCTGTGAGAGGCTGACACAGCACCCACGCCACTGGTGGGCGTCAGGGCATCCTCGATCAGTAACCCGAAGCTAGTTGTGCCAGGGTCTCGGCCTGCGCCGGCCTAGCCCAGCTTTTCGACCAGATGGGCGCAAACAAGGACCGTGGCTTCGAGTGCTGTGGCAGGGACAGAATCTAGAAGCACACAGCCCTTCCATGCGGGGTACACATACTGTAGATCAACTGGGAAATCATGGGCGCCCTGACTCAGCCTCGAATGAAAAATTATCGACGTGCCGCAGCTCTGAATCAAGTTGAGAGCGGATTCCACTGGGCGTGATGGCCCCTGAGCTTTTCAAGTGCTTGAGACGGGCAGCCGACCACATAACCACCCCACACTGAGCGAAGCCAAGGCTCGAATTCGCGATCACAAATCTGTTGCACAAATAGTCCTCCAGCCGTGCGCTCAGGCATCGTCATTTCTTGGTTTCTATCATGCCGAGGTGCCGTTTCAAATTCGGTGGTCGAAATACGAGTATGAAGGTCAGCGAGCTGCGTACTTCACAGGAGGAGGAACCGGAGCATACCTTTCGGGTCATTCAGCTGGGCATCTCTCAGAAATCAGGCCCCCACCAAAACTCTGCTTGGAACGTCTAGGCTATCGAAACACCTGCTGATCTGGCTCCGACCGCGAGACACTGCTGCTCCCGCATGCTTGGCTCCCTAAATCCCCTTATAATTGTAACTAATTTTGAACGCCAAAAGCCGCGATCCTTTTGCGTCACCCTGATCTCGACCGAGGCAAAGGTCGAGATCAGTGTGACATGGTTGGACAACATCTTGTTGTATCCACTAGGGCCAAACGTCTCCCTGTGAAATGCGGGTGGTTGGCTTTGTGAAGCTGCACTGCAATGCGCCTCCCAAAACTGCTGTGCGGGAAGCAAAAACGCTACGTGAACACAGCGTTCAAAGTAACGTCGATCTAAGTATGTTTTGCATGCATGTATGCTCACTATGCACGACAAACCCATTGGACGCCAAAAGCCGTCCTTTGTGTGACCGAAGCAGCAGTCGGTTGGACGACAGCTATTGTACAATTCCACGGCCAAAAGTCTCCCTGCGAAAGGAAGCCTAAACTCATCCGCGGGCGGTAGGCTTTCTGAAGCTGCACCGCGGTGCGCCTCCCGATTCAATCGCGGTTTCACTGAAAAACAGCGGAGCTGTTGCCCACCGCCCGCAGGTACGGCCTCTTGCCGCGGCAGCAGCAAGAGGTTGCGACACTGGCGGAGGAAAAAACGGAGGCGAGGGAGGGAAGAAATTGAAAGTTGTTGCTACAAAAGGAGGGCTCTTGCTTCAAGAGGATAACTGCGGCAGGCCTTTGCATCCGCCATCTCCGGTGTCAAAGCCGAGGAAAAAGAGGAACACTTGAAAGTTGGGGCGGTATTTGCGCAGCGAAAAAGCGAGGGCCAGGGTGCCGCCTCTGCACACCTCAAAGGCGGCCGTGGGCATTCCGGTAAAACAAAGCCGGCATAAGCCGGCGAAGCCTTCACCCACCTTTGCTAGGCGAGCTGGACCGGTGTTTCCCTCTCAGCCTCTCAGAGGAGCAGGTCCAAAGCTTGGCCACGACCAACGGATCCAAGTCCATGCTCTCAGCTTCTTTTTGCCGCTTGTCCAAAGCTGCGTGACGGACTGTTCTCCCTTTGGGAAGAACGCCACGAAGGCGGGACGCCGAAGACCTTGAGGTCAGCAGCTGAGACAGAAGAGCGCACCCTCTAAAAGCCCGCAAACGATTCCATGGCCTTTTCGGGGGGGGGGGGGGGGGNNAGGGCGCATCCTCCACAGGTCGATCCCCGGCGGACGGAGGTGGAGGCAGCCATGGCGATAGGGCGACACCGGACGACACCCTGAGAAAGGAGAGGCGGGGCGGAGACCGATCAGCGCCTTACTTATCTGTCTGATATCAACGCCCACAAAAGGGCAAGCCTCGCCGCCCTTAAGGCGAGGGCGGCCGACGAAGATGTAGAAGCCGCCGAGGTCGAAAAACTGCCGCTCAGTGGCTCCTTGCACACGTCGCACTTGTGCTGATCATGCGGCTCGCCCGCCGAGACGGGCCAGAGTCGCGCCTGGCATTGCGTTTAAGGTACTCCGGTCAAGTGGTGGGGGCGCTTTTGGAAGACAGTGTCCGCAGGATGACGCCATGAGTGAAGACGCGTGGCGGAACCACAATCCCATTGGCGATGTCCAGCTCCAGCTGGGCAGCCTCCTGCCAGGACACCGCCATGAAGGGACAATAGGAGGGGGCTGGTCCGGCAAAGGAAACGCCAGGCGTTGGCGCGACACTTCCGAATGTAGGCGGAACGCCTCGCCGGGCTGCTTGTGGACGACTGCTGGCGGGAATGAGGAAGCGCGGGGGCTTCGGAATCCTGCACCCGACAACGGCGAGGGCTCTGATTCCCCCATCCCGCCAGTCGCGGATTCTTCCACCTACATAGGCATTGCCGTGCGATGTAGACACCCATGGGCGCCCAAGTGAGGCCCAAATCAATAGCTGCAGCGGCAGCCGCAGAAAAAAGGCTCACCAGAAGAAGCCATGACCAGACACGGCGAGGCCAGGTGCGAGGGGGAAGTCGACATGCGGTGCGGTCGAGCCGGAATGCGGCCCGGCCAACCGCTTAAGCTTGTTCCTACACGCAGGCGCGCGCTGCATGGCACTTCACCACCGAAATCAAACCATCCCCGTCCGGGCACAGCCACACCTC